AGACCGTGGTTCACCCTCCCTTGTCCTCGCGGTGGGGTTTGCTCCCCTCCCCACGCCCCGCTCTCCCCGCACCTTGCTGATGCAGCACCGCCCAATCATCTGCAGCAGCTCGTTGGTCCGCTCGGGCTCGTGCCCGGCCACGATGCGCGCAGGCTTTGCGGACAGCGGCTCTCCCGAAACCATCACGACCACATCTATGGCCTTCTGGAGGAAGCCGATCTTCGCATCTTTATCCTGAAATGTTCCCGTTAAAATAAGCACTGTTGTTGTTGTTGTGTGCCGACCCTATACAGGGTTTCTGAGGCTGTAAATCTTTACGGGAGCAGAAAGCCTCATCTTTCTCCCGCGGAACAGCTGGTAGTTTCGAACCGCTGACCTTGCAGCTCGCAGCCCGATTCGTAATCACTACACTACCAGAGCTCCACCCTCCTTCAAGTAAGCACTACCCTCCTTCAAGGGGCCTTTGCACTGTCTTCAATGCATGTGATAAGACAGTTATTGTTTATATGAAACATTACCGTAACTGTGTGTCAACTTTACAAATACGGACTCTGTAGCAAGCATCAATCATGCAAGTTTGTATTTTTTTTAAGATGCTAGAATCGGAGCTTATTGAAGTGAAGGAGTTTCAAACACATCCTGAAGCCAGGGGAACCCAGTGGGGCTGATAGGCACACAGGTGAGGGTAGAAAGATCGTACCACCTGAACTGAGTTTAGAATATTCCTGTTTGCTCTCTCCTGTAGCAGCAATCCTCCCTGCTGGCGAGGAGGCTGCGCAGTCCAGAGCTGAGGACGGACAAGGAGACCCTACAGACAGAGATGCCCTGTTGGAGACACCTGAACCACAGCTGCGGTTCACACCTGCAGGTGCTTCAAGCTGCTCGACAGGCCCGGCTTTCGTCTGAGTCAGAACAGGACCACAATGGCATCCCCAACTTCTAACTGAGTTTATCTGCCAGCGAGGACTTTCCAAATGTTGATTTCGCTTCTCAGAGGGTAAAGGAGGGTCCTGGTCCTACCACCTACCACAACAGTGTACAAAAGCTGCAGGAGGGGCCCCGGCCACTCAGGGGTCGGGGAGAAAGCCCCACTCCAACCCACCTTAACATTGTCAGACTTCAGCTCAGCGTCTGTGTAGAGACCCTTCATGAAACCTGTCGTTCGAATCACCTGCAAAACAGAAGACAGTCCATTGTCTGCACCCACAGAGACCTCTTCCCACTGAGCCCCACCCACGGGCACAGCGTCCCAGGTGGAACTCCGCCAGAACTCAAATTCAGTCACTTACTCAACAAGCATCTGCAGTAACATGTGCAGGCTGGCACGCCTGGGAGAACCCAGCCTGGTCCTCGCTGGAAGACAGATAGATAGATAGATAGATAGGACAGACACAGGCTCTAAGGGGGACGTGCAGGGACAGCACCAAATCCAACCGGGGATCAGGATTCTGTCTCCCGCAGCTACGCTGAGGGCAGGGAGTTGGGGACAGGGTGTAAGAGGAAGCCAAGAGGTACAGGGACAAGATCACAGAAGTCTTTTTTCAACAGAAACATCAAAAGGTGAAGCTATTATTTCTGGACATCTCCTCCATGTGGGTCCACCCACTTCTCAGGGTACTGGTTCCATCTCTCCAAGTCTTCCTGGTGTGGCACTGCGGGATAATGCACTGGATCACAAGGTCAGTTTCAACTGCAAGGTCAGTGGTTCAAACCCACCAGCCACTCCTTGGAAACCCTATACAGGATCGCTGTGAGTCAGAACTGACTCAACCATGGGCACTTAACAACAAAGGCTTCCGCAGAGACATCTGCACTTTGATGGATAACAGGTCAAAAAGGACAGTTTGGGCTTGAGGGTGGCAAACTGTGTTCCTTTTAAATGTTAATTTGTGGAACAAAAAGAAGTCTGAATGGGCTTGTAGGGTGGATGGGGGTCTCCAGTGAAATCCTCCTAAGTCAGCCCTTGTTACCCTTGAAGAATAAGCAGGTGCATTGTTGTGATGGAAAACAATTCCTCAGCACAACCTTCTGGGCCTTTTTCTCACCAATGCAATTTTCCATTTTCTTAAAACTTCTTCCTAACAAGCTCTGGTGATCGCACTGTGTCCTTCAAGAAAATACAGTGTGTCGTACAAATTTGGGGGCTTCGTAGCACGTACAAGTTACTTTTACACCATTACGAGTTGGCCTGCTAACCTCAAGGTCAGCAGTTCGAAACTACCAGCGGTTCCACAGGAGAAAGATGAGGCTTTCTGCTCCTGTAAAGATTTACAGTCTTGGAAACCCTGTGCAGGGTCGCTATGAGTCGGAACCAACTCCACGGCACATAACTACCAACCACCACCACAATTAAACACTAGACTGTTAACTGTGAAGTCGGCAGATCACACCCACCATCTCTGAGGGAGAAAAAGGAGGCTGTCCACTCCCATCCAAACTTACCACCTGGGAAACCCTATACATGCTTGCTAGAGTCAGAATCGACTGAAGGGCAGTAGGGGGTAGATACAGGTTAGGCACTGGGCTGCTAACTAAGGTCATACTTCATTCATATTGTCAGGAGGGAGCAGTCGCTGGAGAAGGATATCATGTCTGATAAGGTGGAGGGTCAGAGAAAAAGAGGAAGGCCCCCAGCGAGATGGACTGGCAAAGTGGCAGCATCAATGGGCTCAAGCATGGCAACATTGTGAGGTTGGCCCAGGACAGGGCAGTGTTTGGTTCTGTTGTACATAGGGTTGCTATGAGTCAGTACCAATTCGATGGCACCTAACAACAACAACTAACAAAGGTTGGAGGTTCAAATCCATGTCTACTCCTGTCAAGAGTGACAGTCTCAGAAACCCTGGGGGCCTACGGGGTCGCCAAGAGTCAGAATTGACTCCGTGGCACTAGATTGGGGTTTGCTGTTTTCTAGTCTATGAAGTGTTCAATGTTGTTAAGTGCTGCTGAGTTGGTTCCGGCTCATAGTGACCCTCTATATTGGGTTTCTGAGGAGTGGGTGGTTAAGTTTGAACGGCCGGCCTTGTGATTCAATCCAACCTTGCAGTCCCGTGCTTATCCCACAGGGCCACATCAGGACTCCAATAGCAATTCAGAAATGTCTGAAATGTCTTAAGAACGACCAACATGGAACACAGAGACACAAAATTCCACGGGCTGCCAAAAGAACAAATCGATCTGGGTTGGAAGAAGTGCAGCCAGAGTGCTCCTTGGAAGCCAGCATGGCCAGACTTTGTCTCTCAGACTTCGTTCATATTGTCAGGAGGGACCAGTCGCTGGAGAAGGATCTCATGGTTGGTAAAGTGAAGGGTCAGAGAAAAAGAAGAAAGCCCCCAACAAGATGCATTGGCAAAGTGGCAGCATCGATGGCCTCAAACACAGCAATGATTGTGAGGCTGGCCCAGGACCGGGCGGTGTCTCGTTCTGTTGTGCATAGGGTTGTTATGAATCGGCACCGCCTCGATGGCAGCTAACAACAACAACAGCAGCACAGTGTAGCACTGACAGAGCCTCTGACGGGGTGACATTTCCGGGGGGTACACAGGACTAACACAGAGTTGTAGACGCCGCAGCTCCTACTCAGTAACCAGGGCACAGCACACAACCACTGCCACCTGATTCCCAACACAACTCTGCCCCTTCGCAAAGAGAGGACTGGCTGGGAGAGCCCCACTGGCTGATGGGAGGAGAAAAGTCAAGGCCGCACTTGGGCTGGGTGGTATCTCAGGAAGGTTTTAGGCACACTACATGTATGTTGAAGAATAGGGATTCCAGAACATGTCCCTGTGCCCGGGTGGAATCTGTATGTAGACTAAGAGGCAGTCATTGGAACCAAACAAGGGGAAACAATGTGATTTAAAATCAAGAAAGGTATGCATTGGAAGTGAATCTTTTCACCATACTTATTCAATGTGTACACTGAGCAAATGATTTGAGAAGCTGAACTATATGAAGAACACAGTGTTAGGATTGAGGGAAGATTCATCAACAATCTACGATATACAGATAACGCCACTTTGCTTGCTGAAATCCAAGACAACTTGAAGACTAACCAATGAAGACCACAGACTGCAGCCTTTAATATGGATGACACCTCCTCCCGAAAACAAAAATCCTCACAGCTGGGCCACTAAGCAACATCACAATAAACCAATAAACGGAGACAAGATTGAAGTTGTCATAGACTTCCTTTTACTTGGATCCACAATCAACACTCATGGAAGCAGCAGTCAGGAAATCAAATGATGTACTGCATTAGGCAAATCTGCTGCACAAGACCTCTTTAAAGTGCTAAAGAGAACTAAGTCTCAGACTCTGTGGTCCCCGCATGTCAGTGTGCCGCACTGTGGTGGCTTGTGTGTTGGATGAATATTGCCTGTAGAGTCCTGGAAGATGAACCCTCAACGTTGGAAGACACTTACAACACACAGTGGCCACACAATGGACTCATGGCCCAGGACGCTGCAGTATTTGATTCTGTTGTGCACAGTGTTACCATGAGTCACTGCCAACTCCACGGCAACTAAACAAGGATGACAACCGAGCGGAAAAGTACACAGCTAGTTCCACCTCAGGCAGGCTTAACAAGCTCTACATTCCTCTTTCAGGGTTTCGCCTTCCAGGTCCCCCTCCCTACAACCACTCCCAAGAAATCCACCAACAGGTAATTCATCATGATGCAAAATGAGTGAAGGGGCACTTAACAAAAAAGGTTTCCTCAGTACCTCCAGGGAAGGAAAACCCTGCAGGTCGCTAAGAGAACGGACCAGGTAGGAAAGGGGTAACCAGCGAGCCAAGTGGACCACCAGCTGTAATAGACACACAGGGGTAGGTAGGAAAGCAGAGAATGCTCCCAGGCCAGGAGCCGGAAAACAGAGGAAGAGAGTAGGGGCCAGGGCAGCCAGGCGGTGGCACAGTGGCTGTTCCTAGAGCTACAGGCCAGGCCAAAGGCCCGTGTCCACCGGCAGGGGCCACACAGAACAAGGCAGGACGCTGCCCCAACCTGGGCGGAGCCCGATCAGCACCCACAGCCCCTACCGGTCTCGTCCAGATCATAGGCCCTGATTCTAGCCCCAGACTGCATCCGTCCATCCCCAACGCCCGACCTCCATCCCTGCTTGCACTCCGACCTCTGCAGCACCCAGACATCGACGCCTATCCGCTCCACTGACCTGGTCCCCCACACACCCCACCCCTACCTGCACCCCGACACGCACCCCGATCCCTTCACCGACCTGGGCCCATACCCA